TCTATCATCTATCTGTCTGTCTGTCTGTCTGTCTGTCTGGCTGGCTAATCATATTTGTCAAATAAAAAACACCTCTAAGGCTGATGAACTGATAATAATCGATAAAAAATAAATAAATATTGAAACCGCCTAGTTCTTGTTTTTTTCCTTTCAGAAGTAGCTTATTCAAATAAGAGGTTTCTGATGGAGTTCATGTGTGAAGTGTGAACTATTTGTTTAATATGAACAGATGGTTGTTTGGTCACACGTAGGCTAGCTAGAGCTCACCGATGGATTTACCATATTTCCACTATTTTTATTTAATAATAATAGTTTTTGAAATTTTTGGAGGAGCAAGTCTGTTTGTAAAGTGCAATTCGCACGTGTGTGTTTTTAATTAGCGCGTGTGTGCGTGCGCGCGCGCTCGCGTGAGTGATGCGCTGAACGCTCTCCAGCAGTGCGCGCGTCCTCCGCTCGCGTCCAGGTGTCACATTCTTCGGATGCTTCTGATCATTTGAACCCGGGACCGAATCATCATGACGGACCCCTCCTCTGCTGCTGACACCACTGCTGGTCCTGTAGACCCCGGTCCTGCTCCTGCTCCTGTTCCGGATCCAGCGGTGTTGGATTCAGCATCGACTCCTGCAAACGGACACCATCCGAACCAAGCAGATACTTTCAACATGGAGCAGCAGATGAAAATAGGAGAGCCGGAGGACAACGGTACGAGTTTGGGTTTAAATACGTTTGATAGAGACTTTATGGGTTTATTTGCGTGGAAAAATACATATACAGCTGAACCCGGGGCATGTTGTCACGCTTACTCCAGTGAATATTTCTCAGGTTGGGTTTATTTCTGAAAGTCCGTTTCTGAAAAGACATAAAATGTAAAGACTTCACTTCAAAATATATAAACAAAATAAAAATAAAAAAGACTAGCAAAAAATATAGCTAGTTAGCCTAATTCAATACAGCGGTAATTAATTACAATAGAAATAACACGCTTTCATGAACACTAATTTGAGATTAATACATTTTTTAAGATGAAATGCCATCTAAAGTATATTTTAAAAAGCATGTTTCACAACATATATGTATTTAAATATATTTTAGACTATTTAATGGCTAAATTAAATAATTAAAATTTAAAATAAATAAATAAAGATATTTTATTTATGTAATATTAACATTTATATAATAAATATTTTATTACAGAATTAATTTTTTTAATAAATGTAAAAAAAGAAAGAAAATTAATCAATTAAAAAATATAAAACTGTTGTTTGGCAAGCAGAAAGTGCAATTAATTTATTGTTTGAAGTTACAAACATATTAAATGTATGTGACAACTTGCCCCAGTCTTATGCTCAGAACGCAGATTCATTCATTATATATTTGGTTCTTTTCTGAATGAATTCTAGTGTGATTCTATTGAGCGCAACATCTACAACTGTAGTTTTGAGAACATAATTCATAAATTTTTTCCTAATTTAAGACAGTTTTGAACTAGATGCTATAAATCAAAAACACACTGCTAAAGAAAACAAGCATTTGTATAATTGGACTTTTTAATCAAAACCTCATAGTTGCTGAGATATTGCATTTGTGACAACTAGCCCCGGTGTGTCTCATACACTTTATGGACTTATTTGTGAATAAATCCCATTGAATTCCTCTGAGACACATGTAGGATGTGTTTAGATGTGAAGACAGTGAGATAACCTGACGTAAGCTAACTGAGCGATGTCCCTCAGCAGGTCTTCTGGAGAGCAGTATGCGTCTGAAACCCCATGAGGCTCAGAGTTACAGAAAAAAGGCATTATGGGTATCCTGGGTCTCCATTGTGGTGACAATGATCTTAGCCATCGCTGCGTTCAGTGAGTATCCGGCCCCTCATCTCTAGAGGATCACGGGCCCCTTGATAATACAGACCTGTATGATGTCATATCCTGTTTTGAAGACGAGCTCCTAGTTGATGTAGCTTTATTCTTTTGGGACTTTGTGATACAGTTTTAAAGATCGAATTCAGTATCGTTTCTGTAGTAGCAGTTTGGTTTTTATCTTACAGTCTAGAGTGGGATGTTGAATCGTATTTAATACATAAAATTATATATATAATTATTTTATATTACTTTTACAAAAAGTTATGATATATGTAATATATGAAATATAATAATGTTATATGGTTTTTTATGTATCATTATATAATCATTTATAATATTTTTATTTTTTATATATTATTTAATTATATAATTAGTTATATATAATTTATTAATACATGTAATTGCAAAATATATAT